CTTTACAAAACACTCTTTTCACCACTACCTGGTACGGCAGAGAACCGTCATCCTTTTACACAATCTCCAGTGTTGGCAGAGAACCGTCCGTCCTTTCACACTCTCCTAGTATGGGAAGAGAACCCTTCATCCTTTTACACAATCCTAGTGTAGACAGAGAACCCTTTGTCCTTTCACACTCTCCTAGTATGGGCAGAGAACCCTTCATCCTTTCACACTCTCCTAGAGTGGGCAGAGAACCCTTCGAATGTTTACACTTTCCAAGTGTCGGCAGAGAACCGGATCTCCTTGACAGATCTTCTCAGACATAGCTTCTGACTAACCTCTCATACCAAGCCCTAGGTGCCTGTTTCAATCCATATAATGCCTTTTTTAACTTGAAAATATGATTTGAGTATTTAGAATTTTCAAAACCTGGAGGTTGTTCTACAAAAATATCTTCCTCAATTACCCCATTTAAAAAGGCACTTTTGACATCCATTTGAAACAATTTAAAACCTTTAAAACAGGCAAAGGCAAGTAAAACCCTAATTGCTTCAAGTCTAGCTACAGGGGCAAAAGTCTCCTCAAAATCAATTCCTTCAATTTGATTATACCCCTTAGCAACTAATCTAGCCTTATTTCTAATGACTACTCCTGAGTCATTCATTTTATTTTTGAACACCCACTTGGTTCCAAAAACACTTTGATCTTTTGGCCTTGAAGTTAATTCCCAAACTTCACTTCTTATAAATTGATTCAACTCTTCTTGCATGGCCAATATCAAAAATTCATCAGAAAGTGCTTGATCAATGTGAGTGGGTTCAATAGTTGAAATAAAGACTTAATGATTGACTTCCTTGTTTAATCCACGCCTAGTTCTAACACCCTCACTAGGTTCACCTATAAGAAATTCCCTTGGGTGGTTTTTAGATTATAGGGTGTGAAAGGAGGACGATTCTCTTCCAACATTTGGTGATTGTGAACAGACAATGATTCTCTGCCGACACTTGGAGAGTGTGAAAGGATGACGGTTCTCTGCCACACCGAGGATTGGTGGAAAAAATGATTTGTAAAGGCTTCTTCGCATTGTTGTGGGGGAAAATGGATAGTCACTTTGGTAATAGTGCAATACCTAAAAAGAGAATCTTTAGGGAGTGAATGTAGGTTGTGTTTGATCGAACCATTATAAACCCTTATGTCATTTTTAATTTCTGCATTTTGTTTTATTTTTTGCACTTTGATAATTATGGTTGAAAAGCTTTTTTAAAAAGAGAATCAAAGTTGGAAATATATTAAAATTCATTTTTATTAAAAATCCAAGAGAATATTTTAAAATACCAATTCACCCCCCACCCTCTTGGTTAGCCATGATATAATTACTTAAGTTTAACAACCTATACGGAATCATCATATAATATTATCAAGCTTCTTCAAGGTTCTTTTTGAAAAGTCAAATTGGTGAAAAACAATTTTTTAGAGGAAGATTTCTCTTTATTAAAGGAGTTTAACTAAGTCTTATTCAATTTTACAAATAGGAATTGTAATAAGTTAGCTAATTTGATTGGTAGCCGTACTAATTTTAGTGATTTCTTTTGGGATGATATTATATGTAATAATATTCCACCTTTAAATTCATTGTTAAATGATGAATGTGGTAGAATTTCTATATTTTGGTAGTTTGTATTACGTTCTCTTTATTAATATAATTTTTTTTTTTGAAGAAATGCAAAGTGCATTAAGATTAAAACAAAAGAAAGAAAGATACAACCTAGTGAGAGCTATAAACTCTATCACTTTCCTCCTTTACACGTTTAATAAAAGTAGAAGGAAGTGAGCTCTCACTATAAACATCCCAAACAAAATCAAACGAAAAAGCAAGGTTAGCACAATAATCGGCTAACTTGTTACAATTTCTTTCCACAAAATGAAAATGATGTTATCATAATTATTGAAGAATGAGAAATCATCATGTATGAAACTCTCACCTATTTCCATCTATTTTCTATACAAATTCTGAAGGAATAGTATCACCTTCTTATTGTCCCCTTCCAAAATGATACATTTGGAATTAAGGGAATAATCTTTGAAAATCGACTTAAGAGAGCTGAAAGAAAGGAGTTCTACCTGAGAAATGTCCCAATGAGTTCCATAAAAGCCAAATGCCATGATAAATCTACCTCTGCAGTCCCGCACAATGCCTCCAATGGATTCTTCGTAGTTCCTCTTCAGAGCAGCATCAACATTTATTTTATACCACTCGGGTGGGGGAGGATGCCAGAAAACATAGCACGGTCCTAAAGACCGACCAGCATCCCAGTAATATGAGATTTCTTTATTATCTTTGTCCAAATTAACAAAGTTAATAATTTTAGCTGCAGCCATAGAAATGCTATCTTCTTCATCCCGTGAAACTTCAGATTCCTATTGTTCCAAGAAAACCAGAGCATTGCGAAGTATAGTTTTACCAACGATTTGTTGTCTTCATACACAAATTTTAGCTCATTTAAACATTGATGAAATGGAACTTTTATTCGGTCCGATGAACATACGCTCCTCTATGTTCGGCCACAAATGTTTTAGCGCCACTTAGCATGAAGAAAAGTTGCCGACCCGACCCGCTGTTTTTTGGGTTCTCGCACGTGCATTTTTTAAATCCTTGATGAGCCGAACAACATCCCATCACCTTTTGGATATATTTCAAATACCTAGCAATACCGAGCAAATACCAAGTTTTACCTAGTTTTTTCTAGCAATACCGAGAAAATCCCTAGCAATACCAAGCAAATACCTAGCAATACCGAGCAAATACCGAGTTGTACCTAGTTTTTTCTAGCAATACCAAGCAAATACCTAGAAATACCGAGCAAATCCTGAGCAAATACTAAGTTGTACCGAGTTGTAAAAAAACTCGATACAACTCGGTATTTGCATGGTATTGATCTTCACAGAGTAGTATTTCTCATTTTTGCAAAGCAATACCTAGAAAATACCGAGAAAATTGCGAACATAGCATTCCCGGGTTTCGCTCCGGGTCAAGTCATCAGGCCGCACGGTAAAGAGTAAGAGCACGTAGCGACATGTTATTGGCAGCCGAACATAGCTCTACGTCCGGTCAGAGGACGTAATAATTGTTCGTTGAAATGAGCTAAAAATTTGTACAGGAAACCCCCACATCCTCAATTCTAAGATCACTTCCATAAGCTTAGAGCAGCTGGTAGATATATGATCTACATCTTCCACTTCCCCGCAGCCTCTAGGACACAGGTTGCAATGACTAAGCTTCCTTCTCTTCAAGAAATGTACTGTAGGGATAGCTTCTTTATTCAATCTCCAAATGAATAACTTTATTTTAGCATTCATTTTCACCTTGTGAATCCAAGCATTTTAGTCTTCCACAGCTGCTTCCCTCACACTTTCTTCTCTTAGCATAGAAGAAATAGATTTCCCAGACAACTTCCTTTTCAACTCCATATAAGCAGATTCAGAATCTTGGAAAATCTGAATATTACAAATCAGTTTCAGCAACTCTTTCCCAAAAAACATACAATGTTTCTCTATGTTCCATCTACCATCTTAAATGAAGTAGTCAAGAGTTGAGTTCTCATCTTCAAAAACAGCCACATCAGTAGGCCATCTATTCAAACATTTGTCCAATATCCAAATATCCTTTAAAACCTTGATTTTCTAGGAAGAAGAACCACATCTTGAGGACTCACATCTCCACCAATCTTTACCATATCTAGCAGTTAGGCTCTCATTTAACAAGGAATTAGGATACAGTACCATATTCCAAGCAAACTTAGCTCTCATTTGTTCCATACATGAAGAAGTCGAGTAAAGTGGCCCATAGATTTCGGTTTGCACATTTCATCCCAAGACACATAGCGCATTCCTTCTCTACCATCAAATTTATTCCAGATACAATTCCTTGAAATTTTCTCAAATTCCCTCAAAATACTTATGGGGATAAGAGAATGAGACGTGAGAAACAAGGGAAAATTACCCAAAACATGATTAATCAAATTCAGCCTCCCCGCCAGTGAAATATATCTATTTTACCATTTGTTGATAGTCTTCATTGATTTGTCTAAAAGGCCTTTAAAATCAGACGTTTTAAGTATTCTGAGAGCGAATTTGGTACCCAAATAATCCATTTCTTCAACTAGCTTTATCTTTAACAACTTTGATATCTTCTTCCTCCTCCCTATGTTGACAGATTTGTTACAAATTATGGCTGATTTTTGAGTGTTTAAACTCAAACCAGTCCAAGCACAATAATTGTTCAAAATGTTTTTAACCTTCTTGATACTTTTAACCTTTACATCAAAAAATAAAAGGACATCATCGGCATAAAGTAAATGAGAAATCCTTTGAGAATTAGGAGCAATTTTGATTCCAATATCCTTGCCTTCACTGGAAAAGCCATTAGAGAGAAGTTGGGAATAGAAAATAAAAAGAATGGGAGAGAGAGGGCAACCATGACGAAACCCGCTCTTCCCTTCAATCCAATTAGAAAGACCACAATTAATTTAGATAACGTATCTAGGTTACATTTTGCATTCCATCGCCAAGTCCATGATTTGCTTAGTAAATCCTAAGATCTCCATCATTCTATGAAGCGTCTTCCAACTCATGCTATCACAGGCTTGCTCCATGTCTAATTTGATAGCTACCATGCCATCAGCTACTTTAGACAACCTGATTTTATTTGAAACTTCTTGAGCTAGTAATAAGTGATCCGCGATGTTCCTTCCCTTGACAAAAGCAGGTTGCTCCTCTGAAATAATCTTTGGAATGACCATCAACAACATGTTCAAAAGAATTTTAACAACAATTTTATATATAGAGTTACAAATGCTAATTGGACAGAACCCAGCCGGTGTGACTGGGTTCTTCAACTTCAGAATTAACACTACTAGAGTGTCTTTCCAATCCTTGCACATCCTCCCTGTTGCAATGAAATACTTTACTACATTGCACACATCAGAGCCAATAATGTTCCAATATGCCTTGAAGAATTAATAAGAGATGCCATCAACACCAGCAGCTCTATTGTTGCCCATCGACTTGATCGTTTCTGCGATTTCTGGATAAGAAACTTCAGCACTCAATCTTCTCCTGTCATCATCATCCAGACTGTTATAAGGTGCTGGACAAATATCTTCCAAACAATTCCTTTGCTTCCATTTGTCCAAGAAGTATCTATAGAATACTTCTTGAATCTCATTAGGATCTTTAGTTAGTTTCCCACTGCGATTCTTCACTTGAGTAATCTGGTTACCGCTCCTTCTGGCCCTTGCAAAGGAGTGAAAGAATTTCGTGTTAGCATCTCCCTCTTCATACCATCTTACCTTAGCTCTTTGCTTCCACCAAGTATTTAACCGAGAAAGAGCCACATTCAGGTCTCTAACTTTAGTTCTCAGCTTCAGAAGCTTCACTCCACATAACCAGCCCACATTTGCTTCCTCTTCTTGAAGATGGAAAATTTCTTCTTTCAACTTGTCCTTCTCACTAGTGAATTCATTCGCTTTAGCCTTCCCCCAAAAATGCAAATCCTTTAAAGCTTTTTTACATTTTTTATTCAGGATTTCCATCTCATTTCCTTCAAATTTTCTCTTCCAAACTTTATCTATAATATAAGTCGATCCTCTATAGGATAGCCAAACATCCTCAAATTTGATGAGCCCGTTGCTTTTAAAATTTGAATCAAAGATTTTCAAAACTATATGACAGTGGTCAGAAGCAATTCTGGCTAAATCCCTCACCTGAGCATCTTGAATAAGGTTGATATCCAAGGTGTTAAGAAAAAACCTATCCAATCTCTCCAAGATTCGACCACTACCGCTTTTGTTATTGCACCAAGTGAACATAGGACCCACCACCTTTACATCATGCAAATCATTCTCATTCATGAAGTCCACCATCTCAATTAGACCTTGAGAGAATAAGAATTTTCTTCCTCGTCTCTTCTCATCTTGGGAAATTATGCAATTGAAGTCTCCCCCCACCACCAAAGGTAACTTCAAATTTGCAGCTTCCCGAATACACCCCCATAGACTTCTCCTTTTCACCACCTCTTTGCTTCCATATACAGTAGCAACCATCCACATTCCTTTGTTGGGTACTTTAAGCTTCTCAATCACACATTGATCCGACTCCTTGAAAACAGAGAAAGAAGCTAAGTCTGATCTCCATAACAATAGCATAGCTCCGGATAGACCATCAGAAGGAACTATATAAAGGTCCCAATCTTTGCCTATGATTCTCCCCAAACCTACTTTATTGAAATTGCCAATTTTTGTTTCCACTAGTCCCACGAATAGAATACCAAGATCTTTAACAAACTCCTTGAGATAATGAGAAGCCTCCTTTTTCTTGGCTCCTCTACAATTCCAAAAGGCTATGGAATACATAATTTAACTCTAGGGGATGAGGCCCCTCCCTTCTTTTTACTGCCCATTCCATCCAAGTTTTCCCCCTAGGAGCATTTTTAATTGGTCCAAGGAACTTCAATTCTTTAGCTAACTTAATCTTGATAGCCTCCCTGCCGGATATACCATCTGTAGCTTTGACTCCACCAATTGAATCTCTGTTTTAATTGAAGACACATCCATTAGCCATACCTTCCCCAGCTGCTATCGATTGGATGTTACTTGCCACATTGTTGCTACTGATTTCAAAATTACCAACTTCCTGTATATCCTCATCAACCATACTCAACACGTCAAATTTATTGGATGTGTTGGAGAAACAGTTAGAATCAGGTTTGGCCACACCTAATTCACCACCAGAGCAATTAACAATATTTACTGATTGTTCTCCTTGATCCATACTAATAAATTTCGGTTCTAGCTCTTCAATCACAACTTTTTTGGGTAAATATTCTCCTTCTTCTAATTGATCTGCTTCAACACCATTTATACATGGAGTCTCCATGCACTGGATTACATTCCTGTTGTCTTTACCCAATAAATTCCCAACTTCCTGTGTGGTATTCAAAGGAGCATTCTTCTTCTTAACAAACTTGACTATGTCTGGCTTAATAGCTCTAGGCTTCACCACCTTGTGGATTGGATTGGGTCTTATACTCCTCCTGTTATTGACTAGTAACCAAGGCCCGTATGATGGCTCAATGAATTCCTCCCACTTCTCAAACGTAGCAACATTAGTGCCAGCTTCTGAAGCCTTTAGCACAACTTATGGAATATTTTCCTTCAGTGCACATTCATTCTCCACATGTCCTATCATTTCACATATGAAACAAAAGTTTGCAATCTTCTCATATTCGACATTTTGGAAAAACCTCCCAGCCATGCTGTCCACCCAAATGCCTAAAGGAAGAGGTTGATCTAGACATACTCTCACACAAACTCTTGCAAATTCCCTCCTCCCCCATTGAAACTTTTTTCTGTCCAACATCAAAGGTTTCCTAATTCTGGAAGAGATGCAAGCGACATTCTTCTCATCCCAGCATTGCAATGGTAAGTGTGGTAGTCTTATCCAAATTAGAGAAGAAATTCCCTTCATCGATGACGTAGTGAAGTATGGTGTCCATCTCTCCATGCCTACAACATGCCCGTTCACAAACCAGGGGCCTCCTGAATTGGCAGCTTCAACCATGTCTCCCGAGGAGAAAGAACATAAGAACAAACCTCTACCCAAGGTGGTAAAGTGGAATTGCCCATGTTGATCCCATTGCTTCTTAATTTCCCAAGTCACCGTGCTAGATGGTAATTCTTTACCAAAAACTTTAATAACCAACTAATTCAACAGTTTTTTTGAATTCAACATCTCCAACTTTGCATTCAACTTCACAGCTTTCCCATCCTCATATAGAATAACATCATCTTCTTTAAAATTCAATTTTATGTACGGCTTATTGCTCCATGGATTCACATTACTCTTTCCAGCAGAGTTCTTAGGCAAATCCTCAGGCAATTTGACTACATCCAAGCCACTCCCTCTTACAAAAGCAGGTTGAATATTTTTGTCAATCAAATTCGAAGAATCCGCATTTATCAGGCTGCGACATAGTCCAATGATTGCATTTGGGTTACTGAATCGATTAACAAAAATTCTCAAACCTGAAGACGAAGCTGTGTTATCAGAGGGAATGCCCAAAGCTTTCAGAATTTTTGGAGTAACCACCTCTTCTGAAATAACCACATCTTTGCCTTTGCCTTCAATATGGTTGATCACCTTGGGAGGGAAGACAGATACTTCTCTAATAACCAAAGGACCTTGTCGTTTCTTCAAGGAATTCTAATCACCCTGTTCAAAGTTCAAAAATAACAAACCGTTATCTTTTTTTAATAACTTTGAATTACCTACGAACGATGGAGATCTAGATGACGATGCAGAACGTCGTTCAACATCCTCCAAAATGATGTGTGATCCATGCAGGTGGAAATTCGCCGCCCAAACTCCTCCGATCACGGAATCCAGTAAGTGATTCCGTGAAAACATTTGGAAAATTCAAAATTTTCTCTATTATTAATATAATTTAGAGATTAAAAAAATAGTAATTTGACACATTTTTTGAAGATGGGGTACAGTCATTGTTAGTCTATTTGATTTGCCATCCTCTAGTGGTTAGAGGTTCATATTAGTAGTTGAATATTACTTCATAAAATGGGTAGAAAAGTCTCCCTTAAGAGAGGTAAAAACTCATCACATTTTAAAATTTTTTTAAAGAAAATTACATATATATATATATGTTCTCCATTTGGAATTACATATACCTTCAATTTGTATAGCTATCAATTACAAAATCACGAAAGAAGAAAATGTAAAATGCATACTATAAGAACTTAAGAGAATTAGATGAGAAGCGTATGCAGGCTAAGTAAACCCTTGAGCTATAAAAAACTAAGATGAAGTAAGCACATGACAAGATGGTCCGTCTAAGAACTTTCCAAGAAAGAGATTTGGTCTTAATTCTGCAAAATGAATTTTAGCACATAAAAAAATAGCAGAAAATTCAAACCAACTTAGGAAGGTCCATTCCTGATGGGAAAAATAGGCCAAGGACGATGTTATCAATTGATTGGTTGTAAAATAGATCATTCAATGTTATCCATAAATGGATGGCATCTCAAGTGATATTATGTTGGATAGTGTTAATAATGTGTTATGAAAAAAAAAAGTTTTTCTTACCCTTTATATATATATATATATATATATATATATTCATTTAATACATTGAAATCTATGAAAGGAAAGGAATTGGGCATAGAGGACAAGGTTAAGTCCAAAATCTTTATTAAAGTTTGTAAGTTTAAAATTCACTAAATATTATTAAACTATATCCATAAAAAAATAGCACCTATGGCATCATTTCCTTTCTGATTCATGTTTCTTGACCATTTAAATCTTCTCATTTGGGAGTTTCCTCTCATTTGGGATCCATCTTTATCAAAAATAATCCATCAGGTATAACTCCATTATCATGATATCATACTTGCTTCATAGAAACTCACTAGAAGTGGAGCAATCCCCTCATAGCACCATTACAGTATAAATTTTGATTGTATGTAATTAGGTGTAAGTCACCATATATAATCTTCCTTTCCATATGATCATTTCAATCCTAATAGATTAAGTGTAAATACCCATACATATATGCTTACATTTCTTATGATCACCCACTCGTGGTGAAGCATACTTTTTATGGCACCATTCTAGTTTGTATATCAATCCTCTATGGTTAAGTGTAAGTCCCTATATATAATCATCCTTTCCAAATAATCATTCTAATCATATAAGATTAGGTTATGTCCCTATATACAAGATTCCTTTTCTTATGATCATTTACTAGTGGGAAAGCTATCCCCATATCGCACGATCCTAGTATCATTAAACCTTCTAGTGTTGGAGCAAACCCCTCATGGCACCATCACTTGTATATTAATCCTTTATGATTAGGTGTAAGTCCACATATATAGGCTTTCTTTCTTAATGGTCATTTTAATCCTCTAAGATTAAATGTAACTCCCTACATACAAGTATCATGTTCTTATGATCATCAGTTAGTAATGGAGCAAGCTCCTCTTCGCTCCATCTTGTTTTTTTTTTTGACTTACTAGAGCTAGAGAAAGCCCCTCATGGAACCATCTTAATTTGTATATCTATCCTCTATTCTTAGGTGTTAACACCATCCCCCCCTGTTGTGGATCATGGTTTATGATTTTGATGATAGAAAACATTCCTTATTTCTCTACGATTTCCTTTTGTGCTAACGTTTCAGGTCCACACGATCAAACTGCAATTTGGAACCAGCTCAAGATTGGGTAGACTTGGTCTGTGTCAGTTTGTAATCTTTTTTGTTTCTTGAGTCTGTTGTATTTAGTGTGGGATCTGTTGATTTTTAACTTGGAAGATTTCCTGTTGTTCCCTATAAGATTTCTATTTTTGGTAATATAGGCCGGGATGATATGTCCAAAATCAGAAACCCTAATTAGGGCATCCTCATTAAGGCAGCTATCATTGATATCGGCCTGGATGATACATGTATTGGCCAAGATGATAGTATTAATTTAGAAAGAATCAACCACCATAATCATTTTAGGAATTTTTTATTTTAGGAAATCGGCTAGGATGATATTTATGTAGTCCAGGCCGATCTAACTCAATTATGCATAAATTGATCTGGTAACTTTGGAAAGAATTAATGGTTGATTGATACAATCAAATCGGTTGGGACGATCGCCTGATCGGCCGGGACGATGTTCTGGACGATCTACATCGGACAGCTCGAATTCAGGGCGATGATCAGGATGATTGAAATAAGTTTTAAACTGATCGGCCTGGACGATCGTGATATCGGCCAAGACGATGTAACCAATTTTCTTCTAATCTTCCCAAATCATCCCGGGCTAATGAGCTGAATTTGTACTGATCGGCCAGGACGATATACCTATCGTCCTGGATGATAATGTCGGCAACTTGCATTAATGAGCTCGTTTTTAGCTCTTCTATTTAAGCTATGATAAGGCACTTTATAAGTTTCTTTGGCAGCCATTGTAACTTCGTTCTTGTGGGGGAAACTTGAAGAGAGAGCTTGAAAGGGTTAGAAGAAAGGGTGGAGTTTGAGAGGGAGAAGATCCTGTGAGGGGGGGAACTCAAGGGAGAGTGGATAGGATTCCACATGGTTGCTTCGGCGAACTCGCACCTTAGAACTCGCACCTTAGTACCATTGGATTCAAGGCTTGTCTCGAGGTAAGTTCTCCAAAGAAGAAGATCTCCTTGGTCTCAAAGGACCCGGCGACTCCGCCGCACCGGGGAAGGTGGAAGTGATTTTGTAAGGGCTTCTCCGCCTAGCTGTGGGGGCTAAAGGAGAGACACTTTTGTAGTGCAATACTTGGAGGGTGCCTCCAAGGAGTGGACGTAGGTCAAGGTTTGACCGAACCACTAT